GGAGTTTCTCAACATGGGGGTAGCCTGGGGTACGCTGAGGATACATGGCAAGTATAAGGTGAGTGTTTCGTGTATCCCTTTCAGGGATGTCCTCATTCATTCCGGAGCTACTTTTCAGACTGTGGCTTTTAGGCTCTTACTGCCGGGATCACAAGATCTGAGACATACACACACGTATCCGCCCATGTTACTTACAGTTTAGGAATACTTGCTCCCTGATTAGTTGGTATAATCCATTAGACTTCAGGGTGTTCAAAAGCGGGAAAAGCGGGGATAAAGCTAGGTGGCGTTTAGGATCCCTACTCTAGATTCTATAGTTACTATATTGGAGTTTTGTTCCCCACCTTCCTTTACCTTACCTTTTGAGCCATGTGAAGAATGTAGGTAATTGAAAAATGTTATGTAAGCCTAGTGTGACGGAGGGTAGGTGCAGGTGTCCCGGCCTGGCATTTGAAGGGTCGTGTATACATGAACTGCGGGCGTTGAAGCCAGGGTTTAGGGTTTGGGGTGTAGGGTTCAGGGTTTAGGGTTCGGGGTTTAGGGTTTGGGATTTTATGTTTCAGGGTTTAGCGTTCGAAGTTTAGGTTTCAGGGTTTAGGGTTCAGGGTTTGAAGAAGCCAAGGCAACTCCAATATTTTTTAGCCCCTTACCCTTGTCCGAGAACCCTACTGAGCCCTACTTATCCTTCACTCTCTCCAAATCTTGATCTCGACGCCCTCATCCCGGAACAGCAAACGCAAATTGCCCAAACCCTCACCCCCACACCCTACTGTAGAGCTCAACACCAAAGCCCTCTGTACATACAGCCTGACACCCTGGGCCCATGAAACATGCAACCCGTAGCCTTGAAATCCTTTAGCCCGCGAACCCGAACATAATTAATCCCCCAACACTGTTTCCGAATCCGAAAATACTAATAAAACCATCCGCCCCCTGACATTATTACATGTTGCCTACATATTCTAGAATACCACAATGGGACTATCAAACATTGGGCGGGGTTGGAGGGTTTGAATAGTAGGCTCGGGTGCCTAAATAGTACATTCCTGTGGGGCAGCTTCGTATTGGGATTGGACCACAGTAGGCCGCTACATAATCTAAGCAACTGCGTTTCTGAAGAGTCGCCTTCGCCAGGCGACCAGCATGCGCCCGCTGGGTCCGAGGAAAAGATCAACTATGGTCGAGGCAGCAGGGGTTGGGGTTCAAGGTATCGGTCTCCGAGACTAGGGCTCAGGGCTTAGGCTTGGGGCTTAAGGCTTAGGTAGTTCCAAGCGTTCACCGTGCGTGTCCATACTACTCTGAACCCTAAGATCCATTCTCTGTGTTTGTCCATAACCTATCCTTGAGGGCCGCTTCTGATAGTTTTTCGGTCTTCAAGTTGTAGTACGAATGTGACCTGAGCTGAACCGCTGATACGTGAAGTTCAATTTAAATCCCCAATCAATGCGGCCATTACATAACAGTTCGCTGTCATGGGCTTCTGGGGATCCCGCCTACGCCCTAAACCCCCTTAGCTTTTCAACCCGAAGCCGCATATTCAGATGTCTGGTTCTTTTTGAGAGAATCGGCCTTAGGGGGTCGGGATTGTGTGGGCATGTGTGGGCTTCAGGATACCCAAAGTAGAGCACTCTTGGGCTACCTACAGGCCTACACTGTACCGTTTTTGTGTTACCCATGTTTTCCTAGCAACAGTGTTCTGTATACACAAGCAGGGGTAAACTGCCTGCTTGAAGTAGTATTTAAAATTCAAGACAGCGCAAAACATGGGAAAGGAGGCCCTTCGCTGTTTCCCCCCCTTGCATGCTGACTGAGTCCGTAGCCTAAACCCCGAACCCGAAGACCTTTGTTTAGGGTATAGGTTTACGCGGTTACAACCCCTAAATCCTTAAAGCTTAGACTGTATATATGGCCATCACAAATTGCTGTCGAAGCTCGGAAAAGTTTAAGGGCCCAGTTCTACTTGTAACCCCAATTACCTACAGCTTAGGAGCAGTTAGCCCCTAATTAATTGGTGTAAGTGTAACCCATGAAGCTTTAAGTAACTGGGTTGATATCCCTAAACTCTATGTAAATCAGAGATATCGCTATACAACCCCTTGTATAATCCCTAAGTAGGTATAAGTGGGGCTACAGGTAGCATGGCAACTTAGAGTTAGTGTGCCCAATCTGGGGAAGCAGCTCTTGCCGGCCAACAAGATCGAATTCCCTTCATGTTCACCTGAGCTAGACTCTAAAATCCTTAAAGAGGGGTTATATAGGGGATTCTTGAAGGGATTATATAGGGGGGTAGAGCTTATTAAGGGGGAGACTAGGAGTTTAGACAATAGCTCATATAAACACCCCCGCCCCCTTATAGAGGTGATGCAAGGACGTTTATGGATGTAAGAAAAGGAACATGGAAAGTTGCTTCAGTATTTCAGGATTTAAGGTTTAGGGCTTATATCAGTTATCGCCCACGTCAAACTATTAGGTACTCCCAGTTACGGCAATATTTTAATCCAATAGGGGGCGGAAGTTTGCTTATTCTACGGGGAGGTCTAGATCATAAGTCCTAACTTGAAGGCTGGGCCTAGACCCTAAACCCAGAAGCCTAAATTTCGCTGCAGGTGTCCAGGCCTTCTCCCAGGGTGGCCAGATGCGCTCGGGATTTCAGCTGCTTGCGGCGCTGGCGAGCCCTGAACGTCATGGCTTTTGGGCTTTTTGGTTTAGGTTATAAGGGATATATTGGGATAATGGAAAAGAAAATGGAAACTACTATTTAGGGTTTTAGGCCGTTTAGGGTTTAGTGTTCAGGGTTTAGGCAGGTATCTTTTAGGATTCTGCCCCTGGTGGACCTTGAAAGATACAGGGGTTTAGGGTGTAGGGTTGGGACTTCTTTTTTCATCTAGGACTCAGGTGGTTCAGGAAGTATAAGAGTTACGATGTGGATAAGGGGCTCCCTGAAAATTCTTGCCCAAACCCGAGCCCCCAGACTTCCTCAACCTTCGCAAAACCCTAAACCTTGAGCCTCAAGCACAAAATCTCTTAAAGGCTTGTAATACCAACTCCACAAGGAGAAATCGACTTCCAATTATATAGTAGATAGGGACCATATGGTAGTTGACTTACAAAGGGGGGCTCCAGTATAGACGCACCAAACTATAATCCTTACTATGGGGAACCCCAAAAAAGGTACACCCACAACCTAATTTTTGGAAACCCCCATGTATAATGGGGGGCCCTAAACCCTAAAGTCTCAACCCTAGACCCTGAACCCACTCTAGAGCTTGGCTCAAGGATTATTGCCTTGCTGCTGGGAACCCGGCTGCGCCCTCGCATGATCTATGCTCCCTGCACCCTGGCCAGGGGAACTAGGGTTTAGAGTTTAGGTGGAGGACCACCGGAGGATGCAGGTTTAAGGTTTGTGGGCGCTGTTATCGGGGATCTACAAGGATGTATAAGAGTAGATTGAAATCCATGACTCCAGCAGCCTCAGTAGGGAAAACAGTAGCAATAACCGCTAATTAGTCTCTTACTGCTACCAGTAAAGTTAATACGGTTCTTGGTAATTAGTATGCCTACCTAGCTGGCAGCTAGTCACAAAGCTACGCGACTTAACATCGCAAGCCAACCCTCAGGCATCTATGTTGGTGCTATTGTGAGCTTTCTCGCTGGCTATGTGGTGGGCACAAACGCCGCCTTCGCCTCTTGTTTGTAAAGTCTGCCATGACTCCCCCCCCATGCACCCCCCGCACAAAGCAAGCAGGCTGAATAAGCCTGATTTAAGCCCTCACAATTTCTTATAAGGCCGCAGTTTTTTTCGGGGTCCATGTCCTGGAGACGGTAGTAGCCCCATGATAAATGGGTTGGGAGCGTCCTAGAATTCCACATCCTTGTCTCAAAGTAGGTGTCCGCAATATGCCCCGAGAAGCAAAAGGAAGTATAAGCCCCAAACCCGAAACCCCATTTCGGACAGCTTGCCCATTAAACTGTCGGTACTTGGGATTATCCCTGAACCCTATCTAAGTCTTTTATATCCCATATATGGGGACAGATAGGGTGCAAGGTTAAAGGGACTCGGAGGATATCTATATGTGTAGAGAGGGTTGTTTTTTAGATGATAGGGCACCCTCCTTGAAGGATTTTGGAAGACTATACCGTAGACAAATTCCCAAATAGCTTCTGGATAGATTAGGGTTGACAGGATTAGAAGGCTGTGACATGTCTTTGCAGGGTGTATTTCATGAATTATACATGTACCTTTAATGGCAGCAACCGGGCATTCTGATGCGGTGTCGAAATACTTAGAGAATAGCAGACACAACAGCGGCTACTTCCCATGTATTGTCTGGACCTAAACAATTACGAACATTGTGGCCTTAGATTCCTTGTGTAAAGATACTGTAGTGTACCGCAAACAGACTTCAAACGAATATTGATACTGGCTTAGGATAACCCCATAAGTCTCTATGCAAACCCAGTACCCATTGAATGTTCCAATTCTCCATGTTCAATTTGATGCACACGAAAAATCTTATGCCCTTTATTGTACATAATCCTATAAGGGCGAAACATGCTCCGAGCCATACCTTAAAACACACCCAAAGCATGCAACCAACCCAGGAGTACTTTGCTCCTTAAAATTTCCTAGTCATATACCCCGAAACATACTTCCCCGAAACACACCCCAAAGTATACCCCGAACCCAACTTCCCCATTTGCCGCATAAGCCCATATGCGTTCAGGCCGTCGGCGTCTTTGTGACCTCCATCATGCCAGAGACGGGCTCCTTTGCAATCCCTTTCGGGAGCCTCGGCTTGTGGAGGGTACTTGTAAACCTAATTACCTACAGTTTAATGGGTTCTAGCTGCGAGTTAGGGGAGTAGCTACTACTAAACTGAAGATAACCGTGGTTGCAGGTATGCCCCAACAATACCAAAGGGCTGTCTTCTGAGAAAATGCAGATGTGTGTAGACTTGAAATCTTCCCTTCCTACAGGAAGCCTACGTTACTGTTGGCTCGAACGATCCACTGTTCCCTTGTAGCAGATGTACTTTGGTTCCAAGGTGCCAGTATGGAGGCATTGCTAGCTTCAAGTTAAGTATGCCCTATAAAGGTGTTTTCGGGTATTTTGACCATTGGGAGGGAGAGATAAGAGCTCCCAAGCCTTCCTGCGCGGTGAGGCTGGTGGCTACGCTGAACAAGCGTGCTGAGCAGGAGGGCAAACAGGCGGGTATGGGCCACCTAGAGTAACCTAGACCCTCAAAACATGTACAGATAAAACACATGTAAGGTACGAAGCCTTGTTTTGTGTGGGGATACTGATTGCTCTAGGTTGGTTTCTTGCGTGAAGTGCTTGAAGCTCAGAAAAAGGTTGGCAGTCTAGGATTTACCGTATCATGTCAGCTGTTTCTTTTTCACGGTCGCCTGTGCTGCGATTCCTTCACTTCTAGGATTGGGTATTTGCTTCTCTGGGAGTATTGAATCCTAATCTACTGGGCGCGGTCTTCAGACTGGTAAGAGCTACGCTTGCGTTCTCATGTTGTTAGTGTGGGATTGCAGAGCAACACTCAAGCTTCTGCCGCAAGGACGTGAGGGCGCAAAGTAGCTCTTAATCACTTTTACTTTGGTTGGTATTATTTGGATTACTGCTGCTAAAGCAATCACTATCAATATCAGTACTACCATAGCTATTTCTATTACAACTGGTTAGCAGTCCGGCTTGGATGTGTCCTATTGTAGCAACTACCTTCATTGCAACACCATGTGATATTGGGAGGATTCCTATATGAAGATAGAGGTACTTAGCAGGTACTGTTGAGCCAAGGTTTAGAGTGTCATCCCTGTGTGGGGACTGTCCTTGAATGCGCGGATTTTGGGGTGTCCTTGAGCACCTGCCTCTATTACTTGTCATATTTACTGGCTTTTTTCTATTGGGGGAAGGGCTAGTGCGGCAAAGTCCTCAGTACTGCCCATGCTTGCCCCTTTAGGAGTCCAAAGCCATCCTAATGGATCCCCCAATCAGAACAAGGAGCCACCCATCTCGACCCTAAACCCAGCAAAGCCCTTACCCCCAATCCTCCCCTCAACAACAATCACACACGCACACACAAGCACCAGTAATCCTGATACAGTTTCAGGTTTCTACGGCTTTGCAGATGGCGTTGCTGAACTGCTGCGTCTCGGATCTTTTCGATAAGCTTTAGTTTACGCTTAGGGTTATGGGTTTTCAGTCTTTGGCGGGTGTCAGGACTGGGACCCTGGGGGCCCAGGATTTCAGACGAGCACAGCTTAGGACTTCAGCCGAAAGAGGGAAACTCTCTCATCCTAAGCTCTTTTCTCCGCGGGCACTTCTGGCTTTACTTAGGGTTTAGGGTTTAGGGTTGCTATTGGGGAATAAAGTAATGGATCTCCAAATAACCCCCAGCCACATCGTAGCTTCCATTTTCTTGTCTGTTCCTTCCTTGCCTACTTACTGAGTTGAGTCTATGAGCCCCTACTGAGGCCCCAGTTTCCATTTCATTCCCCATTCAAGTTTCCATTTGATTCTCCATTACTGGGGTAATTTCCCTAAACCCTAAACCCGAAATACAACTAACAAACAGCAAGTTTAAGGTGTGACTGTGGGCCAGCAGGTCTGCCACATGGTATCTCGGCTGCAGGGTGTAGGTGTACTGGTAGGAGTTGTCCAAAACTAGGGCCACCAGCACATGACAGGGGTTATCGGGGTATTTTAAAGGAATGTACAGGGTTTGCGGTTTCCCAAAATTAGGGGTCCCTCAACATTTTGGGGTCTTTATCCGGGTCCTTCTATGCATTGGAACTATCAGGTCTATCTTGGGTTTCGGGCTGATGGGCTTCAGTATGCCTGGAGATTCAACCCTAAACCCTAAACCCAAGGGCTTCAGGAACTTGCTTTTACCTTCACCTGCTTATAGCGCTGCATCCTGCATCAGGCTACTTAATTAGGGGGATTGGTTTAGGGGTTTAGGGTTTAGGTACTTAATTGGGGGATTGTAAACCTTGCTACAAGTAGCCAGTTTCTAAGTCTCCAAGTAGACGGTCTGCAGAGTAAGTATGGGGTTCAGCGGCGCTAGTCCTACTTGTCTATCTTGTCATGTGTGGCGGGGTCTCTATGCAAGAGCAATGATAACACCTCTAAAAGGTCATTGCTGAGCTACATGGCCACCCTAAACCCTAAACCCTAAACTTTAAACCGAATCTCGAACGTAATTCCAAGATAAGCCAAGGCAATCCCTGTATACCCGTGGCGCCCCTAGAACCTCCCGCATTTCTTATATGTCTGTAGACAGTATCAGAGGCTTCTAAAACACAAGATGCAAGGAGCCGGCACCTGAAATCCTGGGGATTTTAGGTTCAGCATTTGGGGTTTAGATGTCCCCCAAACTGACGTGGAATCCCAACAGAGTCCTACAAACAGTGTTGTCTGTCTACACACTGAGGCCTGCATGGGTTTCCATATGTTTCCATGTTACTTCGTCGGATGAAGGTATTGTTTGTCCAGCAATCTCATTGTTCACTGAGGTCCTCGCCATCATTGAGCATCAGCTTCCTCTCAAGGCCTCATGGCTATAAAGGCTGAGGATTGAGGCATGCGACAGTTTTGTGAATGGGGACCTCTTGGGGGCCTTAAGGTTATGTTGGATTCAAAGACGATCATGGGCGCCCTTTTAAGTATTGTATTATATAGGAGATGGTGTTTTGAAGCTTTCATGCGGAGTGCAAGACAGACGGTGCGTGGCCTGTTGGAGCCTTACGTCCATTTCAGTGGCCCTAAAACCCTAAACCCTA